CCAATCTTTGGTATTAATACAAAAGTATATTTGGTCTTTGCTCCTGTTCCCAGTTCTGGGCACAGAGCTCCTAAAACTCTTGCAATTTCCTTTGTTGGAGAAGTATCTTTCTTAATCCTAACAAGCCTCTTTCAATAGCACCTGAGTTTATGCTAATGACTAACTTAGGTTGGGGCCCTTAGATAGCTTCAGGATGGAACCGGTAACCAAAAAGATAAGTAATTAGATGGTTGGAACCTTCAGCCCCAAACTCTAGGAAGGCAGGGGGCTGGAGATTGAACTCTACATAAATTCTGAACAATAAAGAGAGCTTCCAGGTTGGGGAACTCAGAGAAGAGCTGGGAAGGTGATATGCCTGAAGAGGGATCCCCATCTACCTTGTCTTATGCAGCTCTTCTATTTGGCTGTTCTGAGTTGTATCATTTATAATAAACCAACAATAGTAAGTAAAGTGATTTCCTGAGTTCTATGAGTCATTCTAGCAAATCATCATTCCTGGAGTAGGGAGAGTATTTGTGGGAACCTCTAAATTTGCCCAGGTTGTACAGAGGTATGGGTAACCTAGGGACTTGGTACTTAAAATCAATGTCTGAAATAGGGGTAATTATGTGGGATTTAGCCCTTAACTTATGGCATCTGCTCTAAGTCTGGGAATTAATATTAAAATTGAATTGAATTGTGGGACATCCATCAAATGAACTATTGTCTGAAGAACTAACTGGTTGTTCATGTTGAGAAACATTCCAAAATTGGTTTTAGGAGCTGGATTTGCTAGCCCAGTGTTGACGCAAAGAAACATGTAGTTTGGAATGAAAAAGGATAGGGGATATGGAAACATTGATCACTGGGGGCCATATGGTCACTCGTGGTATGGAGCAGCAGCTACTAATGGTAAAAATTACCAGTGGAATTTAGAAATGGACCCAACTCCTGAGGAATTGGTTCACTGGATGCATTAGGAAATGCCAACTAATAGGGTAAAAGTGAAATATGTAATCCTTTCTTTATCTATAATAGCTAAAGTGAAAGAAAAAGAGAGCATTGGGTCAGATTTTGACACTAGACCAAACTCAGGTTCCAGTTGCCCTGAGCTTTGGATATTAGATTCAAAGCTGCACCCAAAGGGGAATATTTAGAAATACTTATTGGGAACAATAGAAAAACTCATAAGATCTTTAGACACCAAGAGGGTGGTCCAGATAAGAGAGGGGAAAACCAAGAAAGTACTGAAACCAGAGGATATAGTATAAACGATTATTTTATAAATCAGTATCATTATCTTTCTGAAGAACCCTTACAAAAATAGATTGTGAGAAAAACTAATTTACAGGCAGTATGTTGGGTTTTTGTTTTGGGGTTTTGTTTTTCTTTGTGGTGCTGGGGATTGAACCTAGGTCCTGGTGTGTGCCAAGTATGTGCTTTAACATTGAGCTACAGTCCCTGCTCTGTATCTTCGTTTTTAAATGCTGATGAGTGGAAGAGCATGTTTGGGTTGATGTAGTATCCAGAGCTCACTATGGAACAATCACAGAAAGCTACACATAGTCTAGACAATATTCCTGAGGGAATCACCTGTCTAGCTTTCAATAAAGCTACATCATTCGCATAAACTCAGGTGCTATTGAAAGCCATTGTAAGGTCTATTTACTCCAATAAGTGTGTCCAACCCCCCCTCAAAAGTTAAATGGAACATCCCAGATGAAAAAACTGATATGTTTCACAGTTGTGGAACTGGATTTATAATAATTAGGATATTTACTTGCTGAATATGCCCATTCCCCAAGTCATGATAAATGCCAACATTAAGATGGTATCACATTGGCTATGGTATAGTTAAGTTAGTACAGCCACAGAGAAAATGAGAATGAAGTTTGGAAGGAAAAAGTTTATTATACTCAGTATATGTCATACAGGGTGTAGTACTAGTGTAGTCAGGAAGAAAAAAGAGGAAAGAAAGCATTAGGCCACAGCTTTCATTGAGGTTTCTCTAGGAGGGCAAGGCAGGACAAGGTAAGCAGCTTAAATAGGTCTGTGTATGTGTGTGTATGTGTGTGTGTTGCTAGGAATTAAACCTAGGGGTACTCTATTGCTGAGTTTCACGCCCAGTCCTTGCATTTTTTTTTTAAATTTTGAGGCAGGGTCTTGCTAAATTGCCCAGATTGACCTTGAATTTTTGATTCTACTGCCTCAACCTCCAGAGCACTGGGATTATAGACATGGGCTACCACACTGGCTAGGATAGGCTATTTGAATAATCTTATTAGACTTGGGAGGATAGAGATGGTTTTTAGTTGGTAGGTACCAGAATTTAGGATGATTTAGAGCAGGGAAAATATTGGCTTGGTGTGTGAAAGGTAGATAAGGAGATAACTTAAGTTATAGATTCAGGACTGATTGGTTTGTATATATAAAAAGCATGCTCCTATATGAGACTTTTACTACATCTAAGAATTGCCTATCCTTGGGAGGAACAGGTCTATTAGGCCCTCAAATTACAAAGCATCAAAAATACAAATAATAAGAAAATATAGTATAATTGACCTCATGATGAATGTATGCCAAGTAGACAAATATAGATGCTAAGAAAATGCAGTTGGTACAGGGGGACACCCCAGATTACTTTACTGAAAAACTGAGCAACAGATCAAGAAGCCTTTCTGAATTTTCTGTCTTAGTTTCTCCTCAAAGGTCTTACAGATACCAATAATAATGTTAGATTGATTAATAAGAAAATGGGGGAGAGCCAAAGGACTCATCCCATCAAAGTTGATGTTTATTAAGAAGTAAGCTGAGGGCTGGGATTGTGGCTCAGTGGTAGAGCACTTGCCTGGCATGTATGAAGAACTGGGTTCGATTCTCAGCACCACATAAAAATAAATAAATATCCGTCAACAATTAACAAAATATTTTAAAAAATAAGTAAGCTGAACTAAGGAAATCTTCATGGGGTGAAAAAAAGAGGTAAATAAGAGGGGGAGAATCAAGGGACTCATTTCTAGCAGGGTGTTATTAAGAAATGTGTTAGGGGATGGGAATGTGGCTCAAGCGATAGCGCACTCGCCTGGCATGCCCGCGGCCCGGGTTTCTTTGATCCTCAGCATCACATACAAACAAAGATGTTGTGTCCGCTGATAACTAAAAAGAATAAGTATTAAAATTATCTCTCTCTCTCTCTCTCTCAAAAAAAAAAAAAGAAAAGAAATGTGTTAAATAAAACAGACATTGATGGTTGAAACAAGGTCTTAACAGAGACTATTTAAAGTTGGGTGGACAAAAAGGAACCCCTGTTGGTCTTCCTGAATTGAAGGGCCCCAAACAAATTCACTTTATTTGCTCCAGTTGGGAAAAAAATTGAAGCCAGAAGACAAAGATGATAATGAGAAATCTAACCTTAATTTCTTGGGGCAATAGGCAGATTAATCATGACAAATATTGAAAAAGGGCCCTAATAGTTGCCAATGCCTATAATCCCAGAAACTTGGAAGGCTGAGACAAGAGGGTCACAAGTTAAAAGCCAGCCTCAGCAGATCAGTAAGACCCTGTCTCTAAGTAAAAAAAAAAAAAACAAAAAAGAGGTGAGAATGTAGTAAAGCATCCCTGAGTTCAATTCCCAGTACAAAAAAAAAAAAAAAAAAAAAAAGCAGGGGAACCCAACTGCACCCTAGGGACCTAAAAACCCTTTTGCACGAGAAAAGATAAAATGGTCAAGAGATAGAGAAGTTGTTTCTGGGGCTCTGTGACATGGAAGCTTCCATATTATGCTACAAAAACTTACTGGCAAAGCCCTAACACAGATTTACACTAGATTAGAGAATATAGAAATATGAGAGTTGAGAGGGTTAAGGTGGAGATTTAGATGAAAAGGAAATTCTCCAAACATCGATGGAAACTGCCACTATATTTGAAGGACAAAAAATAATATTAAACCCTAAGATACCCATGATGTCTTGGGTGATGTCACAGAAATGCTCTAATGGGGAGGGCCATGCACAGAAGAGTTCTATCATAAAATGGAAATGGTTTCTTCAGGGTGATGCTACCTTGGAACTGAAGCATCAAGCCTCTTTTCCCATTTAGAATTATGTGAGAAGTTGTCAGATTCTAGTGACAGTCAGTACCCTATAAAGTAGCCCTTGACTGATCAACAAATTGCTGCTTGGTTTTAGATGGCAGTTCTAAGGAAAAGGGACAACAACATCTTTGGAAGATACTTCTCTGATTGAAGAAAGTGACAGCAAATCAGTTTGATGGGCTGAATTACCTTTGTTTTCCAAGCAGCCATGGAAGAACTGAACAATATAAGTACCTTTGTTTCTACTGAGTCATGGGTAATGGTCAGTGCCTGGTCATATGGCAAAGCAAAAGGGAATGGAAAATTGGCTTATTAAGAGGCACAGACTTATGGAAATCACTATGACAGAGAGAAGGAGAAATAATAGCTGAGGGCAAAGAAATGAACAAATGGGTTATGTAGAAAGTTCTCTGAGTTATCCGAGCAATTTATTGAGCCTGGGGGTGGGGCAGTGGGAACCCTCAAGTTTGCAGATAAATCAGACAGAAGTGTAAGTAACACCTGGGAACCCAGTACTTGAAACTGGCATCCAAGTGGGGACAGTCTTGTGGGACTGAGCACTTAGCCCATAGGGCCTGTGCTAACTCTGGGAGTTAGTACCAGAATTGAATTGAATTGAATTGTTGAACACCCAATTATTATCTGGAGAATAGGAGAACTGGCTGTTGTGTTGGAAAATACCAAGACAGACTTTCTATAATGAATATGTACTACTTTAAAATGGAAAAGAGTACAATAAACATTTTTTAAATAAAGTTAATATAACTTGCTGATATACTAAATGCAAATACTTGTGAAACAAACAAATCAGAATCACTTCTCACTAAACCCACAAATGCAAGTTTCCCTTGGAAAGCTAATTTCTCCTTCATAGTAACCTTTGACCATATTAAAAACCATTAGATTTAAGCCGTACACTATGGCTCACCTCCTGTATCTTCATCTTCATTGGTTGGGGCTTCTGCACTGTCCACATTTTCTACTTCATGAGGTTTGGTTAAATTGTAGTCACTCAAAACTGTTGGACTTTCTAAAAAACAAAAAGAGTTCTAAGTATGTGATAAACTTTAAAGAATTTTTTTTTTAAAGAGAGAGTGAGAGAGGAGGGAGAGAGAGAGAGAGAGAGAATTTTTAATATTTATTTTTTAGTTCTGGGCGGACACAACATCTTTGTTGGTATGTGGTGCTGAGGATCGAACCCGGGCCACACGCATGCCAGGCGAGCGCGCTACCGCTTGAGCCACAACCCCAGCCCAAGAATTTTTATAAATATATATTAAGTACATGTCATTTCATGTTCAGCTTTACAGAATCCTTTAGTAATAAACAGTATGCCCTCACACATATCTATGTGGGACCTATGTGAAAACTTTTCAAGAGGAGAACTACACATGGGGTTCATGGCACCTTCCAATTCATGCAATTATCTTTAACATTTCTTCCACCCAAGTTCAAAATCACTCATGTTCTTTCTGGAGAGAATTTTTTTTCTTCATTCGTATCTCATGATATTCAGCAAAATGCCATTGCTATTTATGTCCAACTATCAATATGCAGTAATGAGAAAGATTGAACTTGGAAACACTGATATGATCCACTTTGGGAAAAATGTTGTTTTGAACTTTTCATAAATTCTGACAAGGCTATAGATATGAACAAGTCATCATGCCTATCCTACCTTCAAGGAACTTATACTTTGCAGATATGGATAAGAGAAGCCTTCAACCATAATGCAAGGCAGACTCAGATACAGGGTGGAAGGAAACAAAGTGTAGTGGGAGTTCATAAAGGAAAGAGAGCAGGCATGATGAAAGTATTCTTAAATAAATAGAAAGCTTGGTAAACATCAAGTTTAAGGGAAATATAATTTTGTTACAATAAATACCAATAATACTAGATGTAAGAGAAAAGGAATAATGTATCTGGAATTATTTTCACATGTAAGCTTAACAAAGAGCTTAACAAAAGATGATAACAGAGGTAATGAACTGAGGGCTGGGGTTGTGGCTCTGTGGTAGAGCACTTGCGTGGCACACTTGAGGCACTGGGTTCAATCCTCCGCACCAAATAAAAAATAAATAAATATGTCTGGGGTTGTGGCTCAATGGTAGAACGCTTGGCTCGCACCTGTGAGGAACTGGGTTTGATCTTCAGCACCATATAAAAATAAATAAAAAAACAAAAGAAAGGTATTGTGACGATCTACAACTAGAAAAATATTAAATAAATAAATAAATATATAAATATATAAAGGTTTTGTGTCCACCTACAACAAAAAATATTTTTAAAAAAATAAGTAATGAACTGAGAAATTACTTTCTATCAAACTCCTTCCTAGGATTCCATAAAATATTTACTAAATACCTATTATTGCAACAAATAATCAAAGACACTGAATCCTGTGGCATTTAAGCTGGGTCAAAATAAGAGAGGTAGGGCTGAGGATGTGGCTCAAGCATTAGTGCACTCGCCTGGCATGCATGCGGCCGGGTTCGATCCTCAGCACCTCATACAAACAAAGATGTTGTGTCTGCCGAAAACTAAAAAATAAATGTTAAAAAAATTCTCTAAAAAAAAAAAAAGAGAGAGGTAACTAGAAAATCTACAGAGGCATGATGAAACTCATGGTGCAGGATATGTACTGGAATGTACATGTAAAACAGAAACACATTTCATAAAGACCATGATGAAGAGGCTCTGAAAATGTCGTAATCATGGACTCATTTTTTGATTTATGAATATCTAAGAGTCTAATTTCTGCATATTATAATGTGTATTCTATAAAAGTGGTTCACTTTTCTCAAGCTTGAAATGACTAATATACAGTAGGCTCTTGATCAATTAATGCAGGGTTCATGTTCAATTAAATATGAGATTATAGCTCACAATTATACAAAACACTTAAGTAATACATTTTGTAATATACCATAAATTTTGATTCAAGCAAAGTGAGTTAATTGATGAAGAAATCATAGAAGTATTTTTAGGAAATAAATTCTTTTAAATGTTTATAGTTTATCCTAGAGAAGGGGGTCAATGAACTATAGCCCAAAGGCCATGTGTGACTCTGGCCTGTTTCTATATGGGTTCAGGAAGCAGGAATGGTTTTTACATTTTTTTTCACTAATTAAAAAAAATTTTTTTTTAGTTGTAGATGGACACAATACCTTTGTTTTATTTATTTATTTTTATGTGGTGCTGAGGATCAAACCTCACACCTGCAAGGCAAGTGGTCTACCACTGAGCTACGAACCCAGCCCAGTTTTTATATTTTTAAAGGGTAGTAAAAATACAAAGAAGAATATGGGACAGAGACTACAAGTGGCCTGAAAGACTAAATTATTTACAATCTAGCATTTTACAAAAACAAAACAAAACAACAACAACAAAAAACTGTTCTACAGTAAAACACAAGTCATTCAAAGTTAAGTTATCATAACATTCAACAAAAGTTGTCTTTATCAAGATCAACCAGTTGAAAAATTTTAAAAAGGAAAAGAAAAACCCAGTATTCAATATTAGGCAGAGTGCTGTTAGGCTCTATTTTGCAAAAGAATTCATATAATCTAAATGAATGAGTTATTTTTTTTTATAAGCAAAAGCTACTTTTTATTTTTTGTTTTGTTTCGTTTTGGTACCAGGGATTGAACCCAGGGACACTTAATCATTGAGCCATATCCCCAGCCCTTTTTATTTTTTTATTTTGAGGCAGGGTCTTGCCAAGTTCCTCAGGGCCTCACTAAGTTGCTGAGTCTGGCTTTGAACTTGCAAAGTTTTGCCTCAGCCTCTCTAGCCAATGTGCCATTAAGCCAGGCTAACAACAGTATTTTTTTTTTAAACATAGCATTTTTACTATAACCAGAATAAGAACACTCTTTCTTTGGTATTATCAGCAAAGGTATGTTTTTAGAAAGGAAAGACCCATGTTACCTGAGGGCACAGGCTGCTCCTGAGTGCTTTTCAGTTCCACATTTGATTGTATATCTGAAAAGAAAGATTATAAATAAATGGATAGGGTACACTGACACAGATTTCAGCATTCCAAATTTAATAAGGATCCCATTTTGAAAACTTAGCGGCAGAATTCCTCTTTCAGAGCAGGACTACACTTCCACTATGTTCTCCTTAAAAGTGCCTCAAGGAGAAGGAAATGAATTATTGATGCAGCAATGTTATTCTGAGAACTTTCTCCCAGAAGTTACTTATATAAGAACAGTGAGCAAAACACAGGGCCCAATAGAGACAATCTCAGATATCCTATTCTTCCTCCCAATATTTTATTATAAATATTTTCAAACATACAGATAGAAAAGTTAAAATAATTACACAGTGAATATGCATTACCCACTGACTAGATTTTATAATAGCATTATGCTATTTTTTGCTTTTTCACATATTTTTCTCCTATCCATCATTTTACTCCATCTATCAGTTCATCTTACTTTTTTGAAGCATTTCGAAAGAAGTAGTAGATATTGGCATATTTCACATCTAAGACTTTAGCATGTATACTATTAACAACTAGAGTTCTATATTTATTTATAAGATTTTTTTTTTAAGGTAAAAGTTACATAGAGATGGGTGTGGTGACACATGCCTGTTATCCCAGTGACTGGGCTAAGGCAGAAGGACCACAAGTTCAAGGCCAACTTCAATAACTTAGCAAGGCCCTAAGTAACTTAGGGAGAACCTGTCTCAAAATAAAGCAATAAAAAGACTGGGAATGTGGCTCAGTGGAATATGACTCTGGGTTCAATACCTGGTATTAAAAAAAAAATTATAGCAAAATGTTTTTTTTTTTTTTTTTGGTACCAGGGATTGAATTTAGGGGCATCTGACCACTGAGCCATATCCCCAGCCCTATTTTGCCCTATTTATTTAGAGACAGGTATCTTTTTTTTTTTTTTGCTACTGGTGATTGTACTCAAGGGCACTCAAGGGCACCACTAAAGCACATCTCCAGCCTTATTTTGTATTTTTATTTAGAGACAGGGTCTCACTGAGTTGCTTAGTGCCTCGCCTTTGCTGAGACTGGCTTTAAACTCAGGATCCTTCTGCCTCAGCCTCTCAAGCTGCTGAGATTACAGGCGTGCGCCAACACACCAGGCTCATAGATCTTTTTTATTTTTTAGTTGTAGTTGGACACAATACCTTTATTTTACTTATTTATTTTTATGTGGTGCTGAGGATCGAACCCAGGGTCTAGCACATGCGAAGCAAGCGCTATACCACTGAGCCACAACCCCAGCCGAGGCTCATAGGTCTTAAGTATACCATTTAATGATGTTTTTAAAGGCATATTCTTGTGTAATGCAAATCCCAGTCAAGATACAGAACATTATCATCATCCCATGTCCCTTCCTAGTCCCCACCCACATACTCCAGAGACAGCTACTGTGGTTTTTTTTTCAATATAGATTATAGTTTATTCTAAAACTTTTAAAAAATGGGATCAGACAGACACATGGTATAAATTATTTTGTCTGAGGCTTCTTTTACTCAACATAAAGTTTCTGAGATATATCCCTTCTGGGGTGTTTATCAGTACTTCACTCTTTTTATTATTAAGTAATATTTCACTAAATGAATATGCCAGTTTGTTTATCCATTCTCCTATTGAGGGACACTTAGACTGTTTCCAGTTTTGGCTACTATGAGTAAAACTATTCTTTTTCTTTTTAAAAACAATATACTGTTAAATTTAGAATAGTAACAGAAAATCGTGAAGATGGTGCAGAGTTCCCACATACTTCATTCTCAGTTTCCTCTATCATCATATAACATCTTATATTAGTATGGTACAACTAATGAAAAAATACCAAAACATTTTTATTATCTGTATTCAGATTTCCTTAATTGTCCTCTGAAGTTCTTTCCCTGTCCCAGGATCCCACATTACATTAGTCATAGTGTTTTGGGCTCCTGTTGGTTCTCAGACTTTCCTTTTGAGGAATACTGCTCAGGTATTTTGTAGAATGTGCTTCAAATGGGATTTGTTTGTTTTTCTCATGATTAGACTCGGATATGTTCATCCTTGTCAAAGTCTTTCTGCGGCCATATGCTTTCCTATCTCTTGAGTAAATACTCAGATATGGAACTACTGGGTCATAGAGCAGGCAAATTTAGTTTTAATAGAAACTGCCAGAACCAGTTTAAATATGGTTGTATCATTAGCAAGAATGATGCTCTGTATCCTTACCAATATTTGGTTATCATCAGAATTTTAAAATTAGAGTCATTCTGGTAGATGTATATTGGTATTCTATTTTCATCAGAATTTATATTTCCCTGAAGAACCAAAAATATTGAATATCTTTTTATGTGCTTATTTATACATTTTTCTTTTTGAAGTATCTGTTCAAGTCTCTTGCTCATTTTTATTAGTTTGTATTTTCATTATTTTATAGGAGTTCTTTGCATATAACCAATACCAATCCTTTGTCAAATATATGATTTCATACTATTTTCTTCCGGTATATAAATTACTTATTCATTATTTTAATGGTATTTTTTCCCCTAGTGTTGGAAATTAAGTCCAGGGCCTCAGGAATGCTTGGCAAGCACTCTGCTACAACCCTAGTTCCTTTAATAGTATCTTTTGATATTCAAAAGTTTGAAATTTTGAAGTCTAATGTATCCATTTTAAAACAGATATTTCTTCCTGTTTCTTATTTAAGAAAAAACTAAAACTTAAAATTAAGTTTTTAGTGGTTGTTTGGTATCTTCAATATAAATTATCAGTTTTACATCTTCCTTTCCAATTTTTATATGTTTAATTTCTTTCTAGCTTTATTACACTGGCTAGAATTCTAGAATTCCTAGAAAAATTGAATAGAAGTGCTGAGAAGGGTAATCCTTGCTCGGTTTTCAATTTTATGGAAGAAATGTTCAATATTTCATCATAAATTATAATTTTAAGTGTAAGTTTTGCACAGAGCTCAAGAAGTTCCCATCTATTCTTAATTTGCTAAGAAGGATTTTTGTTCTGTCTTTATAATGAACGAATATTGAAATCTGTCAAATACTTTTTATGTATCTATTGAAATGATATGTTTTTTTCTGCATCTATTCTGTCAATTTGAATGAATTACAAATCCTGGGATAAATTCCTTGGATTACATCCCTTGTACTTCTGGGACAAACCTCTGATATAGTTTCTGCTTTGTGTATTTCTACATCTAATTATTAGCTTGTTAAGGATTTATTTATAGTCTACTAAGAATTTGGGTATTATGTTCATGAATGATTTGGACTTATAATTTTATTTCTTTCTTTAATGTGTTCATTAGATTTTGGTATCAGAATTTTTTTATCATTCCCTCCTCCTTTATTTTCTGAAAGAATAGTATGAGATTTATTTCCTCCTTAAATATCTGGTAAAATTCAATTGTTTAATTGTGATACTATTTGGGCTTGGAGTTTTCTTTTTCTTTCTTTTTTTTTAAAAACAGGGTCTTGCAAAATCACCAAGTCTGGCCTTGAACTTGCAATCCTTCTGATTTCCACCTCCCAAATAGGGTTGCGGTAACAAGCCTGGACAACCATATCTACCTGGAGTTTTCTTTTGATAATAATTTCAATTTCTTGAATTGACACAAACCAATTCATATTTTTAAATGCCATTTTGCATTAGTTTCAGTAAGTTTTATTTTTCAAAGAATTTGTCTACTTTACCTAAATTGTCGAATTTATTTGTGTAAGATTGTGACATTTCCTTGTTATTCTTTTAATATCTGTAAGATTTGTAGTTGTTTTCCTTTTTGATATTGATAATTTGTATTCTCTTTTTCTTTGTTAGTGTAGCTAGAGGTTTATCAAGTTTTTAAAAAATCTCTTCTAAGAAACAATTTCTGAGTCAGTTAATTTTCTCTAATGTTTGTTGGTTTTTTAATTGATTTCTTCTTTTTTTGCCAACATTTATAATATCTTTATATTTAGGAATTACTCATTTTTGATTTTTTCTTTTTATCTTTATTATTTTCTTCCTTCTACTTAGTTTGAGTTTAATTTACTCTTCCTTTTCCAGCAGTTTTATCCCTGCCCTCTTTTCTAATTATTATTATCGTTTCAGCACTAGGGATTGAACCCAGGGTTGCTTTACCACTGAGCTACACCCTGATCCCTTCTTACATTTTATTTTGAGACAGGGTCTCGCTACACTGTTCAGTCTGGTTTCAAACTGCTGATCCTCATGCTTCAGCCTCCTGAGTAGCTGGAATTACAGGTGTGTGCCATGGCACCTTGTAGAAAGAACAATATTTTTTTTAGTTTTCATTTATTTGGAGATTATTTTGCTTTCAGCCTTATAGGAAACTTTTGTTAAATATAGAACCCTGGGTTGGCAGTTTTTTGGGTTTTGCTTTGTTTTTTTGAGTTCTTTAAAGATGTCATTTCACTGAATTCTAACCTCTTTCGTTTCTGAGGAGAAGTCACTGATGTTTTGAGGTGTTTCTTTCTTATTCACAATGCATTCTTTTTTTCCCTGAATGCTTTCAAGATTTCCTCTTTATTTCTGGTCTTCAGCCATTTAACTATAATATTTACAGCTAGATGTATTTTTATTTGCATTTATCCTAGGTTCTCTGAACTTGTTAATCTATAAAGTAAAGTTTTTCATCAAATTTGGAAAATTATCAGTCATTAGTTCTTCAAACACTTTTTCTGCCCCTCCTCTCACTCCTTTCCCTCTATGACATCAATGAATGTAAGTTAGACCTTTTCATATGTTCCCAAAATTCCCTGAGAATGTTCATTCCCCCACCATTTAAATAATTTCTATTATTATAGCTTCAATTTCACTTACTCTTTCTTCTGTCATCTTAATTTGTAGTAAAGACTATCTGATTAATTTTCTATCTCAGATATTGTAATTTTAATTCTAGACTTTTTATTATAGTTTCTCTGCTGAGATTTCCTATTTGTTAATTCATTATAAACATATTTTCCTTTACATCTTTGAATATTACTGCCAGTTCCAATAGGTA